GGGTTAGTTTGTAACATTTTAACTGCTTTAAAAATACAATTTTACAGCAGAAAACAGTAAAGTAAAATAAATAATAGTTCTTCCTTGAATAGCAACTCTTTGCCAAATAGCTTGCTATATTAAACACAATTTAGGGTTTAGACTCCTTGTCTTGGCTACATCACAAACTCTTCTGGACTACAGCTGCCCTGGAAAAACTTGGTCTATTTCAGTGATGTGAACTGTAATGTATTAGCATCTTATTACCTACATTGGAGCTAATAAAATACTGTGTGTGAAGGCTGCAAACTGTTTATAAATTCCATTAAGCAGATGCCAGATATATTTTTCTTTATCATCTTGATGCAATTGGAGCTKATGTGCACTAAGTAACTCAAGTGAAACCTTTCATATTACTCCTGTACTCAGCAGGAGATAAAAAATAAAGTACCTGACTTGATTTTTCAAAGTAGAAGAATATTTAAAAAATASAGTTTATGTAAGTGGTTCCCTTTTACATTTGAAAAAAAAAAAATATTAGACTATATCCTAACAATATTTCCTTCCTTTCTTCACCTTATTTAATTAGATGTTAATTAGATGTTGGTTTTCAGAAATTGTATAGAAGTATTTCTTGGTCCTTCTGTGAGTTTAATGCTGATCATAGCATGCAGAAGAATATACATCTTGAGCTGATGAACCCAGAGTAATACGCCTTTCTCTTTCCAGATATACAGAAGCATATTCCATGCTACCAGTTGTTCAGGTAAGAATATTAAGTAAACAGATATGAAAAAGTTAAAATTAACCCTAACTTGAACGCTTCAAGAGTTAAATTTGCATTGTTTGACAAAACCACCCAGTTGTAACTATAGTAGCCATATCAACCTCATGGTATTACTAATGCAGAATACCTTRTGTTAGTCCTATCTTGGTTCTTTATGTCTTGTGGGTGTATATGTGTGTTTGTCTGTGCATATAGAAATAGAGACAAGGCACACTGCACCTTCCGGTGAGCTATGATACCATCCATATAAATTACCGAACAATGTCAACACACTGAAAAAAAAACATTCCATACATTCTAACCCCTCACCCTCAACCGTATTAATTAAAAATTAAAAAAAAACCAACAAAAAGTGAGATGATTCCCAGCATGCTAGAGTTATTTTTACAGTACCATTTCTTTCCCTCTAATTGTCCTAATTTTCTTCTAGCTTTTATAATTCTGCAGGAGAACTGAATGAACTTGCCCTGAAGAAAATACTATCAGGCTGTAAGAAGGTATTTCATTTTCAAATCTAAACCRTACTGAGGAGCTCACTCAAATTTTGGAAGCTGTTTGGATATCTCTTGCATCAAGATTTTTTTCTTTTCTATTTTAAAACTTTGCTAGTCCCTCATGCTGCTGGTCAAAGCAGATACATTCTTTTCCTCCTTAAAAAAAAAAAAAAAGCAGTTTAGCTTATCTTTGACTAGGGTTTGCCTACATATGTGTCACAACTTTATTTTTAATTATTAATTTCTCAAGTGAATACTTCAAGTATTTCAAAGGAATTTCACCAATTTTGACCTTAAGATCAGTTGAGGCCAGCTCATAAGTGGTTAAGGACCACCTGATGAAAAAAACTTGGTCTTTTCCATAGAACAAAGTTTTACAAGAAGGTAGAAGCTGAAAATAAATAAAACAACAAAATAGAAGAAAGTTTGCAGAGTATCAGCTTGAACACAAGATCAGAAACAGGCCAATTCAACTCAAGGTTTTGAAGGAAATAAGATGCCATACTGGAATTAGGCTTGAAAATTTTAAGTGTTTCAAGTCAACGAACTGCTTGAATATACACCTGGTACAAACAATTCAGACAAGATTTTGTACTCAATCAAACTTGCTTCAGTGTGACACACAGGGACATAATGATTCAATAGTAACTGTGAATTTTCTTCTGCCTGCAGAGTGTAATAGGATGGTACAAATTCAGACGTAACACAGACCAGACCATGACATTCCGGGAAAGACTTCTTCATAAGAACTTGCAGTCACACCTAGCAAATCAAGGTCTTGTATTCCTTCTTTTAACTTCCAGTGTGATGACAGAAAGTTGTTCTACTTACAGACTGGAGCATGCCCTACATCGGCCACAGGAAGGGTAAGTGGCTTGTTTCTTACTGTATRTGCTAAAACTTGGATATTTCTCTACTTTGTTGCAACACAATCAGTAACAATGTTTGTTTTAAATAAGATTGCTCTTTATGTAGCCAGAGACCAATTGAAGGCTTACCCTGAAATTCTGTTCTAGGATTGCCCTTTTTATCTATAGTGCCAGCATCACCAGGCAGACATGGCCAGTTTATTTACACATGYAAGCTGCTCTTGATCAAATTGTTTTGCATACAGGTTCATATACAGGTTTCATATACAGTGTTCATTAAAATATTTAAATTGGTGTTAACTTTATCTTCAGAGACATCCTACCCACAGGCTRGTTTAGCAAGCAAGCATTGCATTAGTCTGTGTTGTACTCAGAAAGAGGGAAAAATTATGGGCATCACTCAGCATCTGGCTGCTCTTGGAGTTTTCCTTTAGCCTCATTAATATGTTTAGCAAGGACTAACTATAAACCTCTCTCTGGGATCCTGAATAGTCARGAACCTTTAACTATCAAAGAGTGACTTTTGGATGTTAATAGATCATGTTTTGATATTTGTGTTTTTTAAGTCTTTTCCAGAAAGTCCCTTTGGTGGTTACCAACTTGGGCATGGCAGAACAGCAAGGTTACAGAACAGTGTCTGGTTCCTGTGTATCCTCTGGTTTTGTGAGAGCAGTGAGACAACACAGGTACAATATATGCCATATTTACTGATAGCTGTAATTTCCAGTTACCATAACTATACTTACTTTTCTGTAAAAGCAKTGAAGTGCTTTTGCAAACACTATAGCCATACCTTGTTCACTTGYTGACCTCACTTGTTTTCTGCAACTACTTACCATTCCAGCATATTTGGAAATTCAATCAGTCCCATAATTTGTCTCAACAGAGGCACCTGGCATTGAAGMTCAAAATGCTTCTTTACATAATAAAGCTCCTACTAAGTAAGCACTGGGATAACTAACGTGCAATTATGCAGTTATACTCTCGGTCCACAGGTCAGAATTCTTTCATGAAGATGGCTCCTTACAAGAGGTTCATAAGATAAATGAGATGTATGCCACCTTGCAGGAGGAACTAAAGGTAAGATGGACACACCTGCCTCACCTTCAGCAGTACTACAAAACCAAGGCAACCAAGGGCTACAACATCTTGCACTGCATGAGAAACAAAGCCATATCTTGGAAGGGAACATTGAAAGATCAGGGAATTCCATTTACTATTCCCTGTTCTCAAGGTTGAAGACTTAAGTTCCCATTTGACACTGTTAAATCTTCAAGTCCACTAATAAATTCTCACAAGAGGGTTCTTTTGAAAGAGTATTATCTGTAGTTTGTTAGATCTTCTTTGCCTAGGTGGGAACAAATAAAACATCGCACCTTATTCAACACAGTTATCTGTAAAATCCATCTCAAGCTCATTACTTAAGCTTCCTACTAAYTTGTGTCTAACTTAATTATGAGTACCTTTAATGCTTTTGCAACMATTTTAAAATCAGCTTCTGTAAATACTGCTAAGCCAATCACACTCTCCCTCTTCTTCTTGCAGAAAATATGCTTTACAGTAGAAGTCAGTGAACGATCTGTAGAGAAACTCTTAGCAGAAGTGAGCCAATTAAAAGAAGAAATAAAGAGGAAAAAGCAACAAAATTGTTCAGGTAAGTTAACCAAATGTGATGTGAGTCTTGCCCTTCCAAAGCTSACTCAAGTGGCAGAAGCAGAAAACACTTCTGAGCTTGAGGCAGCCAAACCACTAGTGGTGCAAGAGGTTCTGCAACTCTTTGATTTTTTTTTCCCCCAGGGGAAGACAGAGATCACCCAGGAGAGCCAGAGGAGAAYGTTCTCCTTTGTCAGGCACTGCAAACATTTTTCCCCAATTCTGGACTTCAGACATGTATTGTTTCCTTCAAAGGTCAACAGATATCCAAGAATTGCTGCAAAACAGACCATCATATTGATGTCATGGACAAATTGACTCTCATGGTAGAGGAAAGARACTTCACTGAAGCTGAAACAAGGCATCTAAACAAGCGTAAAGCCAGAGGGACCACAACAGCTTCAAAGTCTTTCAAGAAATCCAAATCGTTGCAGCTTCAGCAAGAATCATTTCAAGACCAAGAGGACAGTGACCAGGAAAGGAAGCTTACACTGAGTGGCACTGAAACAGATGAGGATGTGTTTGAAAAAAACAGAGATGCAAATGAATACCCACACTCTCCTACTTTCTGATCTGTCATATGACTTCACACCAAAAGTTACTGCCAGTGTATTCCAGTGATGTATCAACCTATAGTGCTGAAGGGATCTATAGCACAGGGCATTTTTGCACRTTGGGTTTTTTCCCCAGTGCATGAAACCTGTTTGGCATAAAGACAAGTCCAAGATGACATTCCCTCGCTTTGCCTTCCAGAGTTCCATCTGTATTCTCTCTCTCAGGGTTTAAAGACTGTGCTACAGGATGCTATCAGTCAGATAAGCATGTCACTGCCCCTAAGTGATACAACCTCAAGCTGCTGTTGAAGCAGTGCTACCCTCCTGATGCAGGAAGCACCAAAAGAACACAAAACACAACAGAATTACCTGTCTGCATGAATTACCACAATTTAAATAGAGTAATTTATCCTCAGGAAACCCACACTTGTTTACTTCCCCCAATATTACAACCCAGCAAGGGAAAAAACAGCCACCTGAGCTTTAGCAAGACCTATGAGCAGAGAAAGGGGTCCATATAACTGCCAGTTTTTATTATTGCTTTAATCTTTCATACTTCCTCCAGAAAATAAATTTTAGAGACTTCATTAAAAAAAAAAGGACTGACATCCCCYCCTCAGTCAACCACACATTATGCTAGCAAACCACATTTCCAGTAAAMAAATTTATAAACATGAAACAGTTTTATTGTGTATTTCTTTACAGTAGATTACTCTGGATACTTGATATTACATAGCTTGGGGTCTGTGAGAAATTGTGGGTTCTTAAACATAACTGGCATAAATCCTGTAAAAAAAAAAAGAGATGGACGTCTTCTTAATCAAAAGAAGGCTTGAGTTAGAAAACTCAAAAGCAAAATAATACTTACCAAATACATGAGCTCTTTTAATGGCTTTTGTAATTTCCTTCTGCTTCTTGTTGCACAAGCCTAAAGAGATGAATTATTTTCTACAGTAAGCAAGTCATTAGAGGGTGAAAGAGGTATTAATGGCAAGTCCCTCTAGCTTTGATTAAGTTTTTCTAGAAAAATGTACATGTGCTTTTACTACTAAATATAACATGCATATAATTAAGGGATACTTTATTTCCTTGATGGAGGCTAYCAAGTCAGGGGAATATTACAAAATGCATAGAGCTGAGAGTAGCTACTTTCAGAAAGACTACTGATGCACAGTTAATTAGACTCACAAAAACATTATTAACTACTAAATKATTTAATTTAATACTTCACATACCTGTGATATGTCTGCCATAAATGGAGCCAGTATATGGAGAAATAAACTGGGAAAGAAGCTACTTAAAATAAAGAAAAAYAAAGTCAGTTTAAGAACTTTTTTGGGGGGCCTAAAGTTATTACTTGCACTCTATTTTCCATTTTTTCATCTGTTTTTACAAAACTCAGTTCTACCTGAAGAAAAAGTACAGCTTGGAACTAGRCAGTATTTTCTATGGAATAACTTTCATGCTTTCTAGCAGCTGAATTGTAACCAAGGACTCTATTTGTTAAACAACAAAGTTGTCACACTCACACATAAATAGCAGAAAAGGCATCTTATCACAACTACATTACTTGGCCCTTAATCTGCACCTAATCTTACTCTTTAAGTTTTAACCCCCCATTCATTTAAATGAATGGATTTTCTTTTTTTTTTTATCCCTGTGGACTTCCTACACACACATTTAAAAACAATAAACCAGTTACCTCCATCCAAGGACAGCAATTTTCAAACTCACCTGCACATTCTTATAGTCCACATTTATTCCRCATAAGACACATCTCTTTGGAGGGTCTTTATAGGGGTTTTCCATTTGTATGGGCTGAAATTAGAGTTTWATTAACAGGTGTAAGCTTCACAAGAACATAGAGGACAATTGTTACTTTTAATCCTTTGATCAATATTTGCCTTGAAACCAAGAGATATTTACTGCACTGCTGAAGTTCTTCAATAATTTCCATTCTCTAACACACTGTCTGATACCTTGCAATCTAAAAGGCTTCTCAAGGTAAACTTTATATTTTAGTATTAACCTATTTATAAGTCTATTAATAGTTTAGTAAAATAAGATACTGCTTGCGCCTTCTACTTGGAAGTCAAGATCTACAGCCGGTAACACGGTAGAGCTGTCTGAGGAGTCAATTGTTTAAAGTAATTTCAAAGTAAATGGCCTGAAGGGGGCTCCTATGTGCTCACATGCTTTCTAAAGAGAGATTCACAAATACCTCCCAAGCACTGAAAGCCTTTTCAAGCTTCAGAACACACCCAGCACCAAATTCTTCCAAGATAGGAAACATGACATTTCACTTTTCACAGTCACAGAACAGTTAGGGTTGAAAGGGGCCACTAGACATCATCCAGTGCAACCCCTCTGCCAAACCAGGGTCACCGGAGCAAGTGACACAGAAACACTTTCAGGTGGGGTTGGAATGTCTCCAGGGAGGAAGACTCCATGACCTCCCTGGGCAGTCTGTTCCACGGCTCTCCCGCTCTCAGTGTRAAGAGTTGTTCCTCAAGGTGAGGTGAAATCTCTTGTGTTTTTAGTTTAYGGCCACTGGTCCTTGACCTGCCGCTGGCCCTACATCCGAGTTACTGAGACAGCCGATTAAATAGATTATAGCTAAGATACTGAAATACAAATCCGTAGTGCCTTAACTTCCAGGGCCTGGTGACCTCCCCCTGAGCTGTGCTCCCCACAACGGAGTCACAGTTTTGAGGAGCCCCAGCTGCACAGCGACCAGAGCAAAGCGTCTCCAGCTGGTGCCTTAAGGAGGGGKTGCAGCGGGACGGCTGTCGGGGCAGGTCGGGGCAGCCTCACCTGATCCGAGCGCTCGGGTTGCGCCTCATGCTGCAGGCGGCGCGGCCGCGCCCACAGCGCCGCTGCAAGGGAGAGAGGAACAGGGTTAGCCGCGGCGGGGTGGGACAGCCCGGACACACGCGAACACCCCCGCGACCGCTCGGGACAGAGGAGGAACGGGGGAGCGGGAGGGACGCACCGGGAACCAGGCGCTGCCACGACCCCCGCGCCACCACCACCCGCGCCACCATGACAGCCAGGCCGCCACTTCCGCCCGCGCGTCACTTCCGCCCGCCTCTCGCCGGCCAATGGCAGCGCCGCGTTCCCGACTCTGGGCAGGCGATTGGCTGCGGCCCCGTCACGTGCTCCCGCCGGCGGGCAGTTGACGGAAATGGCGGGTCCCACCATGGCGGCTGCGCCTCCTCGGGGCGGCCCGGGGGCCGCTCTCTGTGTCCCGCCGCGGCCGTGACGGCCCCGTGCCACCTCCGTGCAGCCCCGGCCATGGCGGAGCCCAGCCTCGCGGTGCGGAGGAGGAGCCGCTCCAGCTCTGAGCGCAAGCGGAGCCGGGCTCCGGTGCTGCCCGTCGCCGCCAGCTCGCCTGTGGCTCGCAAGAGACCGAGCCCTGGGGGTGAGGGGTCCCCGGCGGAGGCTCCGGTATGGGATGATGGGGTCCTGGGGCTGGTGGTGAGGATGGTGTGTGTCGCGAAGGGCCGTGCTTGTACGAGAGGGGATGATGCCATTTGGCTTTATCTTTAAAAAGATGCGTTTCTATCAACTGCGCCCGTGTCCTCCCTACTGGTAGGTTCGGTTTCACTGAGTTAAGGCCTTCCTTGACTCACAGACTACATCCTCACAGACTACATCAAATAAAATGCTTTCGTGTTAAGTTGGGACAGACTTAAGTGATTTGCCTCTGATTTGTGTGCTGTGCAAGTTATTCTTCCTTCTGTGGTGTTGCTTTGGGGTATTAATACCTCCTGGGTTTTTTTTTTTTCTGCAGTGTGATAATGATAGCGAAGAGGATATGTTTGGTGACTATGACAGCTTTTGTGGAAACAATTCATTGCTGGCTCAAGTGGATGATATTGAAAACAAATACCTCCAGGATAAAAATATGGACGTGAAAGCAGCTGGAGATATTGTACTTGGGGCCCTTCAGTCAGGAGTTTKCCAGAAAGAGCAAGATAACTTTTCTGCTTCAGAAAATGTGGTTGTCCCTAAAAGTGACAAAGAGGGTGCTTGCCAGATGCATGACAGTAACTCAGCTGGTGGCAATCAAGAGCTAACTGAGTCTATTTTAGATGACTTGCCATCATCACAACTTTTGTATTTTGAACAAATGAATGAACTKTCTTCTGCTTCTAGAACATCTCCAGTCTCAAAAGGGAGAGATGAACATGTGGATTTTTCCTCAGACAAAATCAAGGGCCCATCGTCTTTTTGTGCTGGTGCTGAACACAGGAACAGACCTATTGACTCTTCCTCACACTCCAAGTGTGTTTTATCTAAAACTGAGAGTCTCAAAAATCACCTGAAAAATGCTATGACTGGAAATGCCAAAGCCCAGACTCTGCACATCTCTAAGACCAAGCAGCTTAAAGAAGCTATTTTATCCGAAGAGATTTTTGTGGCTAGGAAAGCTATTGAATCTTCTTCTGTTGATATAGGCCCTTTTTATGGATTACCTAGCAAGGTTAAAGATCTATTCAGACAGCTTCGAGGGATTGAAACACTTTATGGTAGTGTAACTAATGGTCTGTTGGAAAAAAAGGAATTGCTAGTGGAGTATTGTCTGTTTCACCTATTATACTGTAAAAATATTTAAGGTAAWCCTTAATGTAACCATGTTGGGAAGTAGTTGTTCTGTTTCAGTGAGTGGCTGTTTCAGTGGTTTAGATGGGTGGAATGGGTGGTTGGTGTCCATCTGGATTGTATAATACTTTGGAACTCACCATCACTGAAGACTTACAGTGCTTTATTGGGGAAAAGCTCTTAAACACTGGGCTAAAGTATTCTGAATGAAACACAAGCATTTTAGTATCGACTAACATGCACCTGATAGTTCCTTTTTTTTACTTTGCAGAGTGGCAGCATGATTGCTTAATGTTAGAATCCCTACAGCAAAGAAAGAACTTGATATACTCATTGCCAACTGGTGGTGGAAAAACTCTCGTAGCTGAAATGATAATACTCCAAGAATTACTCTGCAGGCAGAAGGATGTTCTGATGATCCTGCCTTATGTTGCCATTGTGCAAGAGAAGGTCTGGATACAGTATTTCTGATACTGCTTTGTTGGATACATATCTTTTCTGATATGCTTTTTTACTTGCTGTCTTGGCGAGCTCTCATGATTTTTGTGAATTATTGGTGGGAAGTGAGTGACCTTTCCTAAGTGCTGCTCTGAGGGTCGGTAATTTTGTAATGGAACAGCCATAAATCATGAGGTAAAGTTGTTGAGTTATGAAGTAAATGGTGCTGAATTTTAATATTGTAGCTTTTTGTGATGTTTTCTGTCATTCTGCACCCAAAAAGCTGGGCTGCCCAACTTGCTGAAGAAGTGGTGTTGAAAAAAATCTGGTATTTTTTGATATAAAGGGAGGAAAGTTAGTTTTAGAGAACAGATGAAAGCCAACTTGATAATATGTGTAGGCACTTGAATGTGGTAGCTTGAATAGATATTCTTAGYTAATATTTTTAACTAATTCAAGCAGCTGTTTGTGGTGTGGTTTGGTTTTATGTATGCTGAGTTCTTGAGGCAGCCTTGAAATCCAAAATGAGTGTGAATTTGTTCTGTAACTGATTTTCTTTTATAGGTTAGGGGTTTGTCAAGTTTTGGGATAGAATTGGGTTTCCTGGTTGAAGAGTATGCAGGAAGTAAAGGAAGATTTCCACCARTCAAAAGGAGAGTAAAAAATTCTCTTTATATTGCTACTATAGAAAAAGGACATGCTCTGGTGAACTCCTTAATTGAAACAGAAAGAATYGATGACCTCGGCCTGGTTGTGGTTGATGAGGTAGGCCACAAGATTTATCAGATGCAAGTTTTTTTAGATTTCTGATAAGCAWTTATTTAGGAAGGAGTGGTTCTTTGCCTGCTTGGTTTTGCCTTGAGTGTTCATCATGAAATTAYTACTACTTTTCTATGTTCTGAATTAGCATGTAATTCTGTAATACTGAAAGTTATTTTTTTTTTTAAATGAAGCATTTATTGCTATATCAGAGTAATAGTTTTATATTGAGAGATCCTCTGTGATAGTGGTTGACAGTGAATTCCTGCATAACTACTTGGCAGTTAGAAGTCAAACGGATTACAGAAAAGCATAAATTATTTTACTTGCATGGAATGTATTTTATGAAGCCCACAACTTGACTCTTAGATGTGAAACCATGCAACTTTGTGTCTAGTRTTAATAATGACCCAGTGAAACACTGACAAAAAAGAAAAATACCAAGTAACACTTGGCTGTGAGAATTGCCCCTTCTTGTGYTTTTCAGTGGTGTGGCCGAGTTATGCTGCCAATGCTTGATTGTGGGATTGAATAACATATATACCGTCTAACAGGGATTTTTATTAATGGAATTATTCAGGCTGACTGACCATGCTTTAGCACTGTAGCTTTTGAACAGAGGGCACTGAAGCATTAATTTCTAGTTTTCCTGGAAKCTGACTGCTAGAAATGTTTTTACTCTAACTGTTGCTTAAAACATGTTTTGTTTAAAATTGCGTAAGACTGGTGAATACAAAGATCTCCACACTGACTGTTTACTGCCAGGAGTTAACTGTTTAGGTCAGCTGTGGTCCTGYTAAATGGAAGGCAAATCTTGTTATCTACATTTGCTCATGAGTCTGTTTTTCTGTGATTCTTAAATGCTTTTTAAGTGAGGTTATACATCTGTACTTAGCAACCCAAATTTATAAGAAGGATATCATGACAGGGTCCAACAAAGACAGTATTGTAGTGTTTGTTTAGGTCTATATATTTTGGAGGTTTTTTAGAAGTACTCTTAACTTAGTAACATTCTTGCATTTTCTTTTTTCCTTCTGTGACAGCTGCATATGCTCGGTGAGGGAAGCCGTGGAGCAATCCTGGAAATTACTCTGGCAAAAATTCTTTACACCAGTAGTAAGTCATGGTGGCTGTTAATGTCATTAACATTTTGTAGTTGTGGCCTCTCTAGAGAGAAGTCACACTCTCACTTTTCTTAAATTTATGGTGTTTTGGCTGCTTTTGGAAAACATGGCATGTATTAACAGCATTTACTCATTTAAGTGTTGATTGACCCTCTAACAGCAGGCTGGATGTTTTTGAAGCTTTTTTGATATTCTTTTGTGAAATCCTGGATATTGTCAAATGCCTTCCATTTCTTTGTAGGAGGCCTTTAGCTATGACAATTAAATGCTCTATTTTTAGGTTTAAGTTGCAGGGAGTATTTTGTAACTTAGTATTATTTCTTACTTAGTTGGTATTTCTTCAGTAGTAGCCTTTCCCTTCAAAGTCACTACTTTGGCATTTTGAAAGACTAATACTGAAGAAGGAGGCTTATGACTTAAATACTGAACAGAATTGTTAAAAATTGGTAATGTGACAATAAATTCATCTCAGCTTCTGTTTTACAGAAAAGACMCAAATCATTGGCATGAGTGCAACATTAAATAATGTTGGAGACCTTCAGAAGTTCCTGCAAGCAGAGTACTACACCRACAATTTTAGGCCGGTCTGTATACAAGATACCAGGAGCTAGTAAAGAAGATATTTGCCTTTAAAATTATAGTAAATGTGTTTAGGATTTTATCACAGCTTTTGTGCTTCATTGTGCAATATAATGTAATATAAGACCTGCTATTACTTGCAATTGCTAGCAATACAATAAACAGCACTATGCACTTGTAAATATACAAATGCAAAAGTTCATGGGATACAATATTTGRCAATCTGCATTATGATTCCATGCTTTATCAAGGCAAATAATGAAAACAATTAACTTCTTTTAAATATTCTTAAATGTATGCTTGTGTGCAAGTATGTATATGACATGTGATGCTTAGAAAAAAGCTTTAGCTGTACRTCAGCAATAGCTTTAGAGAAAATTGAGTAATCTAACTAAAGTTTCTCTTTATGGCTTCCCTCTTGCTAGGTAGAATTAAAGGAATACATAAAGATACGAGACACCATTTATGCCGTGGACAGCAAAGCAGAAAATGGCTTTGTTTTTTCACGTCTCCTTAATTTCAAGGTAAAAAAGAATGTTTATGGTTTCTTTGAACTGTTGACA